TTAAGGGGGTCTGAATACTTTCCGTACCCACTGTATATGCTTCTCTCTGACTAGGTATTACAACTGCGTGCCTTTCGCTGGCTGCATCATGGTCGGACCCTCCAGCACCTGTCACTCACGAGTGAAGACCTTTGAGGAACTTCCTCTGGAAATGACATCACACAAGACACATCATGTAAGACTAAGACCTCCAGTATATGTATATATAAAGGATGTTAACATGTATATTGTTTCATGCATTTTTGTGCCCCTATAGGACAGCCAGACAGACAGTGGGATGGTTTTGGCATCAGATGAGCTGGAGAGGTTTGAACACATGCACAGAGGGGCCATGTTGAAAAAGTAGGCGATACTGAAAATGATGCACACCATTTATCATAAGAAAAATTACTAGGGTTATGGCTTACTTCATTCATAATTGATCAGTTTTCATACTCTGGAGTTACATTAAGCATTTTGTCATTGTGTGAACTCTCATATCGGCTCTGTAGTATATCAGCGGGCCACAGCACAGAACGCCTCAGTTCTCCATCCATGAGCAGCAGCACACTGCGCCCACCCTTCTTCAGCCAGCTCTCGGGCCAAACCTTCTACAACAACGAGTACGGCCAGCTGTCGGAGGAGGGCGTCAGCGACTTCTTCTCCTCGTCGGATCAGGCCATATACCAGGGAGCCTGCCCGGCAACCGCCAACCTGTAACAGCACCGATTGGCCAGCGGTAACCAGGCCCCACCCCCTCACAACTAACTGAGCTGAAGTCTAGCTTTGTAAAGTTCTCTTAGCAGCCACTGGGTGGCACCATTATGTCCATTTCAAACCAAAAAAGTATTTTATCGCCTTAGTTACATATACCTTTTTACCTAGAGTGTAAACTTCTTTTTATTTGTACAAAAAAAGAGAGAAAAGAACCAGAATGGAGAAAAAATAAATGAATATATCATCTTTTGACTGATTTTTGTTTGTTTAAGTGATATCTGATGTTAAATATTAAAAAAATGTACATACATTTTACAATACTGCACAAAACAATTATATGGTTATATTTTAATAATAATTTTATGGAAATATACATATTATATATATAT